GAAGTAGAGTTATCCAAAAAGAAAAGCATTAAGAAGACAAAAGGAGGAATTAAGGTAGGATTACCTGTAATTTGGGGACATCCCATATTGTGAGAGAACTCAAAACCTCATAAATATAGATTTACACACCTATACTTGGTATTTAAAAAACAAATTGGAGCATTACTAACTTAACTCTCTGATAAGGACAAGTGACTTTAACCCACCTTGTCTGTTATCCACACCCCTGACTTGTTTGTACATTTTATCTTTATTCCTCTAAAGCTGAAAGCAAAAATTAAATGCAGTTCATTTTCTGAAATGGCTAGCACAGCCCACAACTTCAGCAATAAGCACAGAATAAAACCAAGTTACCAGCAGGAACATACAGGTGGTCTCCCCTTTGCCTAAACTCACAGAAAGTGACATTAGAATTAGTTTTACTCTCATCAGTAATGCAGGTAATCAGTTGCATTTCTCCCACTTAGTTAGGTGTATGCAGCACTGTGGTATATGCTTTATAAAACATTCATTCATTAATTTTTAAATCCACTTCCCAAGACTACACTGCAAATTATACCCCCTCCCTATCCTCCCATTGTTCTGATAATAGTTCAGATGAGGACAGTTCATTACTGGATTCCATCATTATCATCAACCAGCTAAATAATTTAGCAATATAGAATGTAAGAATCAGCCCTTAAAACTGAAAGTGCTCAGGAAGTTGGATTCTGCTGGGATTTAGATATTGGCTCGGATTAACAGCAAACTCAGCAGATGGGTTGTTTAACTAAATTTGAAGAGATTGGCTTTTCAGTAAGTGCAAGTAGTGCTTGCTGCTCTTAAAGCTGCAGGCAAAAGGAGAAAAAGTCTGCTTAAAACTTGCCTGGAGAGCACTTGAAATGATCCAACTCTGCAAGACTGGACAAGGGAGTGTGTGTTTATCAAAACAAACACTGGAGCTGTGCAAAAGCTCTGTTTCAGCCTGGGCACGGGCTCTGCACAGGTACCTGTGCTCAGCACTGCCTCACCCAGCACTGCTGCTGGGACACAGACACTTCTCAGAGGCACACGGAGCATTCCCAGATTTCTCCACAGGGAATTCTACAAAGAACTCTGGAAATGTGAAGTCTTTGGGTTGGCTTCAGACAGGAAATGAAACCATAGTGTTCCAGAGTCTAAGGAACAGATTATTATGCCTGTAATTATCTACACAAGGAGATAATTCCCCTTCTGTGGTGCAAGAATATAATGACTTTGCCTGGAGTAAGGAATGCCTCCATGCCAACACTGAGCAAGGATGGAGAATATAAATAGGAGATATTTCTGCACATCTAGAATTCAATTATTTGAACTTGTCTAGTGACTTTCTAGGTTAGGTAGGATGTGGTTTTTATTCTTTCAAAGAGTTAAAATTCTCTAAATAAAAGCATCAGCAATTAAGTATTTTCAGTTTTAACATGTCCTTCTCATGCAGATTGAAGTGATGCATGAAGCCAGTCAAGGAGGATCCAGCAGAGTCCTGGTGACCAGTGAAAGTGATGAGAACTTGTCAACAAGGAGGAGGTAAGGCTTCACATATGAGCCATTGTATATTTTTTCTTCTTAGAATGCAAATTGCTGCATTTGTAGTACATTCTCTACAACCTCTTTGAAGTTCACCAAGATTAATAAATAATTAGCAATAATGAAGTCACTGAAATGCTTACAGCCATGCATTTATACTGAGTCTATCAGATGGAAAAGCAAGTAAGAATTCTCTTTTGTTCGTGTTAGGGCTTTTTTACTGTTTTTTTTTTTTTTCTCTTAGAAGCATTAATTACGAAATTTGAGGGAAGAAGTCATTAGAATAAGTCTTGCATGTATTTACAAAAAAAAAAATCCCCACTGTTTAAAGATCATCTCATAGTGTTCAGAATATTCACATTTGACTATATACCTCTGAGGAGCTTCTGGGTTTTTTAACTGCAAGCTCAGCTTTCTGCAAAATTTTGAGAAAAACATTATTAACAACGCATTCTAAAGCACCAGATACTTAAATCACTTACTTCAACAAAAAGTATCACGGAAACCCAATTTTAGCTGAACTGCAGTTTCTAGGCCAAAGGGAACAATTAAATAAAAAACCCCAGAAAACAAAAAACCCACAACAAAACCCCCCTGCAAGAAGCCAAATGCCACAATCGTGACTTCATTTCCTTTGTTCTCTTCTTCACTATCATTTAGATAATTCATGCTTTAGTTATGCCCCTGTCTTATACACTGAGTTACCTGATGCAAATGACTCCATTTGTAAAAACCCTAACCTGATACATTATGTCAGACAAATTGGAGAGACATACAAATCATAATTATCTGAATTTAATTATACCCTATGAAAATACCATGTCTGATCCCCAGACCATCAGCTATTTTCCAAAGGCGCAGAGTGTGATCTGAAATCTTGTGTAGACAGATACACATCTCCAGGGGAATGGCTGCCTGAAGAGAACATGCAAATTGTAACATTAACAACAGGTTCAGCTTCTAATACCTGGCAATCTTATACAGCTTTAGACCTAGATTAACAACAGGTTCAGCTTCTAATACCTGGCAATTTTATACAAAGCTTGGTAAACAAGGAACATCAGTTTTGCTTTTTGCACACACCAGGGGCAGGGTGGGGGAATGAGGGGCAATTTGAAGTCCTCTTGTAAAAGGGAACTCAGAACAACATTTAAAAGTATCCGAACTGATCCTGTCAGTTACAAAGAAGGCAACAAGAGATATTTATCTTTCATGTATTCTTAGGTTTTTTTAAAAGAAATAAGTCTGTTTATTCAAAACAAATTTTACAAAACAACTGTCTTTCTGTGGTACAGAGCAAAGTTTAAGAATAAATATTGAATACTTTGTATAAAAATTAGTAATATCAAAGGGAAACTGATGCAAACCAAACAAACAGATAAAAAAAATAGCATTAAATATGCTGTGCAACAATGTCAAACTCTTAATGAGGAGTGACCATTCAGGCTGATACAGTTTTATTTGAAGTAAAACCTATCAGCCCTGCATTGGAGCACTGAGACTATTGTTAAAAAAGATTCCTGATGGAAGTGTACAAATCTTCATTTGTGTTTAGAACCAGAAAATATGAAGTTTTCTATGTCTCTTCTATTTTTTTAAAGGAGTGCCTTCATGCTTTCCTTTTTATTCAATGAGCAACTTCTTTTCACTGCAGCAAAAGAAAATGCATACTACAAACATCAAGGCCCTTTTAAGATTAAGAAACAATCCAAACAAAGCTCAAACCAACTGTAAAACAAAGTATTTCAATGGTCAAAAGTGATTTTCAGATAATGGCAACTACATTTAAGCAGCGTTTTAGATGTTAGCTAGATAAAGCTACTTAAAGATTACGTTACTTTTGCATGTATGAGTGAAAACAAATCCCAACACGCAGATATGCTGGAAGACCATAGTCTTACTAGCACATTTTGGTTGCATACTGCATATGAAGACCCTCTTTCCCTTCAGTGAACAGGTGGCTTTTCTAGCAGTGCAGTTTTGCTGTGCAGCTTTGTTGATTTAAACGGCTCACAAGAAGTCCAAAATCTGATGAAGCAGCTTTCCTTCAATATACAATACTTTCTCTATATGTGCATTTATTTTCTCTGTATGCAACAGGTTATAAAGATCTACATCCCCAGGACTATTATCCATTTGTTTAGGCAAGAAAAAAATTGGATTTGTTCCTTCTGAAGTATAGCTGTTATACTCGTCAGTCATTCTGACACTGATAAATGACTTCTTTGTGAGCTCTTAATATGCCCAACATTTGGGACCAGCTAGGAATCTTACTATCTTCCTTCTGCAAAACCAATTATAGAAAGTTACATGTTTGACTTCGTTCCAGTAGCTACCTACCCTCCATCTGAACAGCTCAGAGAACAGTCAGCAAGCTCACTCCTGGATTCTGTCTGCACTGACAAATGCCATTATCCATTCAAGCCAGAAAACCTGCAGCACAGCTCCAAGAGCAGTAGCAGTGTTACACCAAGTTTACTACTCACAGCTTCAAACTAGCAAGTCCTGTACAGCTGCCACAGGTTTGACAATTAGCAACTAAGATATCTGTCCTGAGAGTCTGTGAAGCACCATGACTGAGCTGTGCAGGGGCTGCAGGCAGCCTACAACTCTGGCTCTCTGCAGTTCTTTATGGCACCACAGGACAACTCATAAGGGCTGCAGTTTGCACATCACTCAGCTCTGTTTTGGCTTACAAAGCACAGGCATTTTGTTCCTTTCCAAGTGATATTAACATTGAGATATAGTCAAGGTACACCAAACCAGCTTGTTGGGTTTGTGGACACCAACAACTCTGAAATTTTAAAGACAATTTTGACTTCAGGAGAAATATTTTAGTTATTATGATTTGTGTACTGAGTTTGTGTGAATCACCATCTCTCTATCCCTTCAATGCAAAGTTTGTACAGAACATATCCTCCCTCTCTGTTAGTACAAGCATGAAATTTTGCTTTTTTAAAAGTCTTTAAATCTTAAACTAGCTGTAAATAACATTCCCAGGGACTTTTTCTTGCTTTTCACCTCTAGAATACTGGAAAACAGAAGCATTATTAGCAGAAAACTAACTTAACTTATTTGCTTATTAAAGATTGGACTTTTTAAATGTGCTGATTCAGTTTTAGGAAGACAGAGAAATATTAGCCCAACCAGTCACATGAGTAGTGTTTGGTCTTTTGTAGCTTCAGGTTCTAAAGGGAGTTCCTTTGTTATTTAAAACAATCGAGTCAGAGGGCATCCAAACACTGTTTCCCTATCTCAAAGATTTGGGCAGCTTTGAGAAAACAATTGTAGCAGGTCTTCACTTCTAGCATTCACTATTTGTCAGCTGTGCAGGTCCAGACTGACTTTGTATGAAGCACTGAGAAATGGTGAATATTTGTAGGGAGTTTACACTACCTTAAACTACTGTGATAGTCTCATTCATCAAGTCACAAGTTCCTCTTTTCTCTTTTTGAAAGGCCTACTCCATTCTGATATAACAGAGGGTTTTTTTGCCACATGCCTTAGTTCACACAGCTTTTATAAAAACCATCAAGACTTACTGACAAGTTCAAAGAAATAGATATTTTCAACAAGCATTTCAAAGTCTAGAAGTCAAGTCCATTATAGTTCACTTATAATCCAGATTTGCATCCCTTGAAGAGTGTAAAAAAAGAGGCTACAATGTAAAAAGTTGAAGTACAACAGGAAAGCTATTCCAGTAAGTCTCTGAACAGAATCTGGGACCCTGGGACCATCTTCTTCCTCTCCCTCTGCCCACCCCAAGTATTCACGTGTAAATTTTACCTCTTTCCATGTTTACATATATTTTGGATAAACACCTAAAATGTTGTTGCTCTGTCTTGGCTCAGTGGATCTTCAATGCAGATATTCAAGTATTAAGAAAACGCAGCTGAACAAGGATACGTGTCCACATAGTACAGTTTACAGAGAAGCACAATATTGACTAGTCTGCAGTACATCCTACCCCAAATCCCTGAAGTGATCTTTTTAACTTTGGGATCTGTAGCCTGCTTCCAGAGCTGGCGGAGATCATCTACGTGTCCATGAGATGTCATCATCTTGTTATAAATGCAGGGATGATATGGAGCCTTTCCTTCCCCAGAAAAGAATACATGATATTGTGGTACAATTCCCATTTTATTGGCACAGAGACCCATGAAAACATCATCTATATAAAGACTTGTATTCAGAGTCAATGAAGCCTCATAGACTTTAGCTGCTACATCATTTGATATTACATAAGCAGCTCCTGCTGTGTAGTCAGGGTAAGAGGGCCACTGGTACATTTCATATGGAACATAGTATTTGCTACTCTTGTCTCTTACGGGAGGGGATCCACGATGGACACGACCAATCCAGAGATCTTGAGCACCCATTTGTGTGAGACTTTGGAGATAAGCAATGAGATTAGGCATATGGATAAATATGTCATCATCTGCAGACATAATGAACCTGGCATGAGGACAGTAGGCATTCATCCAGCTAAACTGCAAAAGCAATTTAAGAGTAAGATTGTGAAAAGTATCCAAGAAGTCTTGCTGAATCAAATCCTGGTATTTCTGGTCTTCGAGCTCAAGTTGTCTTTGCTGCTGTGTTTTCTGCAGATGGCGTGTTGGTTGTCCTAAAGCAAAAAGGGTTTTAATGTTGGCATTAAGTTGGGAACGAACATACTTCTCATTACCCCACGTTTGTCTAATTGCATCCCTTCGATGACGGTTTTCAGGAGAAGACTTCACAAACAATAGGAGAAGGACATCCTGCTGCTGACATTTCTCTCTGTGGTTGATCAAGTACCGGTAGCTTGATACTCTGTTCAGGTTATCCCTGCTGATGGACAGGCTGTCATTCACAAAATGGTAGCTATTTATGAGGTATCTGTAGGAATAGGACTTCATATGGCTCACAATGTGATTATCAAACGGTACCCAAAAAAGCATGAGAGACAGTATGAAGCAAGTGGCACATATCTGCAAAAAATGGCATTTTCTGACTCTTCTGGGACTAACAAACATTCTGATGCCGTTTTTATAATCCTTACTCTTGTTCAGGATCAGTGTTTTTACAGTGCCTGTATTTTAGTTTAAGAGCACAGTGTCACCCTTCAAGATAAGTGTCCCTTGTAAGGCATGATGTCTTTCATTCAGTATCCTTGTGAAGACAGCTTTGTTCACAGACTTCACAAGTCATCTTTCTCAAAAAACGTTTTTCTTTGATTGAAAGAACACAGGCAGTTTTGAAAGATGAGACTTGCAGATGAGTATTTTCCCTTTGGGGCATCTTGAAACAAAGATTACAGTTCTAGTTGGAACTTCCAGTGTTTCTTTCCTTCATGAAGATGAACACCTGCCAATTCTGAAGAGGGAGAGGAGAAAAGTTTAGGTTAGTATTAACACATTCGGTTTTAGGTTTGGTCATGGAAATGAGCTGATTTCTCAGTCACTGCCCATCACCACCCACATACACACATCTGTCCCACTCCTCAAAATGACAAAAAAGAGCCGACTGGCAGCAAGTCAGAGGCAGTCAATGGCCAGGAGCAAGCCTGCAGAGGCCACTGAAAGACGAGACTGACACAGAAACCTCTCTCTTAGAAACCCCCACTGCCGCGGGGGTTAGAGGGCAGATGACAATCTTAAAATTCCTCTAAGGCCGGAGAGCACCGCACGCTACAAACGGCCGGGTTTACAAATTGCCTTTTGGGCCGGCAGTCCGCTGAAGCCGGAGCCAGGCGGAGCCCTGCGACTGCTCCCGGCCAGCGAGTGCCGGGCCCGCGCTCGGGGTCCCGCCCGGCCGCGCTCCGTGTCCCCGGCCCGCCGCCCCCTTGCCCGCACCGCTCCTTCCCCCACAACAGTCAGTCTTTGCCGGCCCCGCCGCGCCGGCCTGAGGGGAGCGGCCGTTGGGCCCAACGGCCGCGGGGCGTGAGGCGCCGCGAGCCCGCCCGGCCCTGACCGCGGGGAGCCTCAGGGCACCCGAGATACCGGGACACACGGGCTGACACACAGACACACAGACACACAGACACACTGGCTCTGCCCAGCCCCTCAGGGCACCCGAGATACAGGGACACACGGGCTGACACACAGACTCACAGACACACAGACACACTGGCTCTGCCCAGCCCCTCAGGGCACCCGAGCTGCAGGGACACACGGACTGACACACAGACACACTGACACACAGACACACTGGCTCTCCTGTTAGGCACCCCCGCCACAGGCACACCGCTCGCACTTACAGCGCTACTGTCTCTGCTACCGGCCAGGCTTTAAGTGAAGAATCCAAGGCACAAAAAGCCCCCCAAGTCCAACCTTCTTGCCCTGCACGTTAAAATTTGGTTCTTGTAGCCGGAGTTGTCTCTGCTGTATCATAACCAAGAGCAGCCTGAAGCAGCGACTACTTATTCATCCCATAAAAAGCCAAAAATAGCTGTCAAGCAAGAAGTGTAGGACTAGCACCATAAGGAATGACATCCCACCAACTAAGCACTTGTTGCATGGAAACAACCCCAGAAGCAAGAGAACAGAAGCTATCACTTTCAAGTCAGAAGTTACGTGCAACACAAATATTCTGAGACTGTTTTAGCCATCTGAAGTCTTGCAGTTAGAATAGCATGATGAGAACACAACAGAGTATGCAGTGATAAGAATACCTGGGGCAATTTTGTGGTGCTCCAGGATGGGGAGCAGCTGCTCAAAATGGAAACCATGCATTGGCGTACCCGAGGATTGCAGATTGTAATGCGTGACAGAAGAGCTGTATGGGCAGTTTGGTGAATAAAAGTCAGTCAGCACTTTTTATAGTATCGGTTTAAACCCTTTTTATTTTGGAAACATGAAGTTAAACAATACACCTCAGAGTTATAAACTCAGCAACTTTACAATAGAACATTATTGCAAAGCTTACTCTTGCTTCAGATGAAGCACAGGGATGCAGACAAGCTGGAGTGTTACAGAAACTTTTGGTGGTTCCTTTTGAAGGAGTGGGTCTGAAGCTACCAGGTAGTCAGGTTGTTCACTGACATCATAACAAACTTAAAGCAGAGGACTGAAAGCAAAGGGACCACAAGGAAATCTATTTAACCACCTGAAACAAAGTTTACCTTGGTAAACATAGGGATACTCATCACGAAATACAACTTTTTTAGATTACACCTGGATAAGAAGTTCGAGAAACAGTCTGCAATTGCCAAAGCCATCTGGTAAAAGGAGACAACAGTCAACACCACAGATAAAAAGGACATGGTCACTGCAAGCTAGCAGTGAAACTAACCTACATGACAGTTATTCCCCACTAGGGAAAAAAACAGTCTCCAGAAAATAACCAAAACCACCAACAACACTCAAACCAAACCCACACATGCACCAAAAAAATCCACCACAAAACACATCATGGAAACAGCTTTAAATATGGAGCAGGTAGCAGGGGACAAGAGGCATGCGTAGACTCAAGTTTTCTGCTCCCTAGCACCCTTTCCTTAAATCAGGATGCTGGAAAGAGAACTTAAACTTTTCCTATTAGGAAAAAAAAAAAAGGCATAAAATTAACTGGCTAAGGGCTGGAACAGTCTGGTTGTCATTTCCTTGTTCTAGTTCAGTGGAATTTGATGAACCATTAGTAAACAAAAGTTATTCAGAATCCTCCTCAGAAAAATACCTCTCGGGTAAAATTTTAAAATGCAACTATAGATGAACAGTACTGATGAAATTTAAGAAGGTCTATACCCACTTGCCCATCTCTCTCCAAAAACGCATGGAGATGTGCACTGTAGGTACAAATGCACAAGCAGAGTCTCTCTGATTGTCAGAACTTTTTATAGCCCAGTTACGAGACCCAGCCTTTGGACTTAGTCATGTTGTCCTTCCCTTAACAGGAAAGCAGGTTGAGACACCACAGGAGCTATTTGCTGCTATTCAAATTCCATCATTCCAGGAAAAGAAAGCAATCCAATTCACCAATGTGTTCTCCCTAGCAAGAGGAAACACCATGGAACAGAGATAAAACTGTGCTTGACAGTCATTTTTCTGACCATAATTAAGGTGGTTTTCTTCTTGTTGTGCATTTTCTTACTTGTGGCTTGAAAGCTGTTAGATCCACTCTAATATTGGAAAAATATTGTAAGAATCATGGATCCACACACAGTTCCTGTAACTGCCTTTATTTCCGGTAGATTTAAGATTAGAGCTGCCTGTGGTATTTCCCCTAGTTGCAAGAACCGCAGGTTTTGCCATCCTGTCTTTGCTGAAGGAGTTTTTTATTTAACCTTTCACTACTTCCACAAGCATGACTCACTGTAGCAACTGTTCACTGTTCTGTGTTTTGCATCTGGAATATATTCTAGGCTGAAAGAGAAGCTGGCATAGTTTGACTTGCAAACTCAATAGTTTGTAGAGTGACCACTATGGAAAAGCAAATCTTTAGGGACCTATTTTAACTTTTGAAAAAAAGTCAGTATTAAGTTTGTTTCAGGATAGAAGTAGAATAGTTTTGGAAAGTCAACTAAGGAGAGACAGACAAGACACATCCTAGAGAGAAATAAAGATACCCTAGACATGAGACACCAGAGGCACAGACCCTCACAGGATGAACCACAAACATTTACACAAAAGACATCCAACATGGAGATTTTTCCAACTAACACCACCCTGATAAAAAACTAAACCCAAGAGATGAACTAAGACTGCCCAGAGAGAACATCTCAAAGCTCCCAGCTTCAAATTTTGTCTTGTGGTATCATACACAAGCTGGACTTCAATACACCACATCCCGGCACAACCTGTATTTTAGGACAAAAATCATGATGTATAGTTATTTTTCACTCTTCCACCTACTACAGAAGATTAGTTCAGATCACAAATGGCTTTGACAGGATATACCAGGAAACACTATTTGAAATAGAACCATTTTTTACAATCAACTTGTAGCAACTGGCCCTTTCATATCAGCAACTCTTGGTGACAGTTCAGAAGATTTACCAGAAAGACTGAAGACCTCAAACATTACCTAGTTCCAAATAGAACTAATCTGAAGAGCTGCTGCTTTCTATGTCCATATTTTGTCCTTGGCTTTTGGGACAGCCTCACAGTCACTCTGCCCTTTCATCTTTACCACACCAGCCTTCCACAGCTTGCAACAGCTCTGGAGTTTATATAGTTGCTCAATAATCCAAATTCAGCTCCTCCCATCCTCTTACCCACAAAAAGCAACCTGCTGAATCCCTGAAGGAAGTATCAGAAAGTGGCTAATTGAGGTCAAGCTGTGCCTAACCTAAGTGCACAATAGGACTCAAGGGTTTTCTTTTGTAGAACCAGATGTAACATTGTATCTAATGCTTTCAGTCTTTTCAATTCTAAGGCTCTGGTACTACAGAAATTTTGAAGCCCGGGACAGGCTTTTGCTTTAAGGTCAGGTTAGTTCTGTCACATGAGTCACTCTGTATCAGCTTGACACTGGAGTGGATGCCCAGGTTAGAAGGCACATTGCAGAGATGTTTCAGCTCCTGTTTCAACTGCACTTCATCCTGCTTGCTCCATCCTGATGTCAGATGTGACATGAGATGTCCTCTAAGCTGCAACACCACTTCTACAGCACTAAAGGAATGTGCCCAGCCACAGAGGTGACAGAGGCAGATATGTTGCAGTTAAAGCTGCGTGGGCCAAGATTATCACTGGCTGACTTAAAATTCAGGGAGATGTGTCAAGCCTAGTGTAAGGATGGGACAATCCTGAAAAGAGTGAGTTGGATTTTCTTGAAGCTTTCAAAATCTGTTTAGAAAGGGGCTATGGGGTCCAAAGAACACATCTTGATATGTTTGAGAGTTTTATTTGTTAAGTAGAATTCAAAACCTTTTTTGCTGTGCTTGAAGCAATTTAAACAGTTATAATTCCTGTGAAATTGAACTCTCCCATCTCTAGTATCGATTTTTGTACTGTTTACACCCAAAGTCCAAAGGAAATCTAGTCAAGTTCACACATCAAATAAGCCGTCAAAACACAGGTTTATAAAGATTTTTCATTATGATTGAGTAAGTGAAGATGATGAAAGTATGTGTCTAAGTTAATGGGAGCAAAACCTGAATGGACTTTGCTGCTTACAGATTTAGCTACAAGATTATGTAACCCAGGTTCCTCTGATGGTTTTTCTGTTGCTGACATGTCTTCATAAGTCATGTTATCTGTCATCTCTTCCCAAACCTATGTCCTCCTTCTTCACTTCCCATTTTTTAAAAACTTCTTATATATTAAGCACTTATATATTAATCTTCAGGTTCTTCTTTTATGTGAGCTGTGCCACAAAATGAAGAACAGTAACTGGCACTTCTAGGACTTCCTGCCATAGTGACAGATGGTCACATTAGGAAAAAAAGATGCAGTAAGTTGCTTAGCTAAGGCTGCCTTCCCACATAATTTGCAAGCACCAAGATGAAAAGAAGTCACAAATAGCCTGCAAAGAAAATAATTTCAAAAAGGTAAAGACTTCCCCTATTACATCTTGTTCTGTCCAAACTGTTGAGAAATGGAAGCCAATTCAGACAAGCATTCTTGAGGAAAACATGGTCACAATGGCAATGGAATTAACAAAAAGAAACAGTCCTGTGCTCCAAAGATCTATGAAAAGTTTAGAATCAGGTCACAGATGTTGCATCAATAAGGAACATAATGCAGCAATGACTGACAGTAGCTTTGCAAATTTTTTTTCAAGAACATATAACCCATCTTCAGCAACTTCCAATGCAGGCTTCACCTGCTGCAAGCTCTTGAGTTTGCCTGCAGCTCCTACTCATGGTGTAGTTTCCTGGGATGATACATCAGCATTCTTACATGCTGTCTGTGGATGTGTTGAAGACTTCTCAGGTTGCACAGACACCTGGCTTTCCATGAAGATGAACATCCAACACTTTCCAAAACACAGACTCCTTAAATGATTCTGAAATTGCTCAGTCAAGAGGAACCCTCTTATTAAAAACAATGGGCATTGAAGCACAGCACTTTGTCCAGGGAAGTTCTGTATCAGAATAACTACAACACCACCTATAAAAATGAGCCTTTTGAAGCTGTGCCCAATTGCTGATTCTCACTGATGGCTAAAACTTGCAACTACTGAGCAATGTCGGCAGAGAAATTAAAAGGATGGCAAAGCTTTAGATGGCAATTGAGTAAAGCAGTTCAATTCCTACAGGGCTGGAGGCAGAAACAGGTTATAAATGCTCAGCACTGCCAGGAAGCAGCTAATTGCCAACAGAGATTTAGTTTCTATAGAGGTTTTGCACTTACTGTAACTATTGGGTGGAAAGAGAATTATTTCTTCTAATTTTACACTATTGGTTGGAAAGAGAGAATGATTTCCCCTAAAATGAGCTGAAACTTCCCAGCTGCTACAAGCCAATGTAAATGGAGACATCTGCCAGAAAGGATAGATTTGCCTTCTTAAATGGCTTTTATCAAGATCAGTTGTCCAAAATAGCCACTATGAAGATGGCAGGAGAGGAGCAGGACCACATCTTTCAAGCATCAGTCTACATTAGCCTGCAGTTCTCAGTTATTTTAACCTCCCATATCCACTGCAGACTCTTCCCCACACAAGCTGGAAGGAAGGATGGCATTTTCCAGAATGAGTCTCCAAAATATGAGTCATTTACTTCAAGGGATTTTGCATAAAATGCACAAGCACCAACATGAATTTTTTTGCTTGACATGCAGCAGATGAGGTGAAAAGAGCCTGTTTTTTCCACTGACAGTAAGGATAATATTCTGAAGTTTCTGTCTGTCATTGACATGTCTGAGGCCACATGTCCTCATGTTCTGAGAGGAGGGACTAAGTTAAGCACTTAACTTCCATACAGACAAGTCAGAACTCTTGAGACTCAGCTACAAAGGCTGTAATGGCACCTACTGTTCAACCCACCACATCTGTTTTGGCAGCAATGAGCTCTAATGCTCTGCTCTCTGCACTGAGCAGCAGTCTGAATTTATGTAAGTTCATTTCCACAGTGCCAGCATTTAAAGACATACGACTCTGGCACACATTCCTTCCTGCTCCCATGCACCAAGGCAAAAAGAGGTAGCAAAAGGGTAGAGCACATTAACTGCAGCTGTTAATGCTACCCCATTACTATAGCCTCTGGAAAGTCATCTCCCTCTCCATTTTATAGTAGATCATTTCTGTTTGTATTTGGACTCTTACCTGGAAGCTTCTGTGCAAGTAGTGTAAGGAATTTTCTAGTGATTATAATATCACTCCCAGGATATTATAAATACAGCTTGCCTGCAAAAGTGGGCAAGGACAAGAGGTGTTACAAAGGGCTCATCACTACTTTCTATACCACATTACTGTATTCACCTCTTTACAAAAGTGGATTGCAGACAATCTTGCAAGAAGGACATCCCATTAAACATGGCACACTTTGAACTGAGCACTGAAGAAAACTATTTTCCCCATACTAGAGAAAGCAATTGTGAAATATCAAGCAGTTAAGGGTCCAGTGCAAAACTCAACACTGGAAGACAAGAAATTAAAAATTCCCTAGTTTGGCATTAATACTGAATGTCTTTGTTTCATAGCATGCTCCGGTTGAAGAGCTACAACCTCAGGGCCCCACCTAATCAATAATTTTTTTAGGTGCCTGTTTTAAGTAGGCCCATTCAAATATTTATTTGAATGGCCCTACTTAAAAGATCTAGAGGTGTTATTTCCTGCCTATTTTCCTCACAAACCCAAGGCAATTTCTGTTGCAGTCTGCAGGCCATACTTGAAGATCAAGCTGAACAACTATCTGAAGCAGACTTTTTCCATGCTAGCTACCAAACTAAAACAGGAGGTCAAGTTTCAGACTGGCACAACTAACTGTAGGACTAGTTCAAGCTGCCTTTCTATGGGGCCTCTCAGAAAACCTTATTTTGCCCAGCAAGAATACTTAAAAATAATGCAGTGAGTCAGAAGGTGTGTGAAGGGCTTGTTTAAACTGAAGGCTAACACCATTGTACCATGGCCATTTCTAGATTTTAAGATTTTCATTCCAGAGTAAATATTCTCTCATCTGCTTCCCAGTCTATCCCTCTTCCTCAGACAATACTGTAGCCTATTAAACTAATTCAGCATCAAACTCCAAATGGATGTCCCACACTGCAGCAAGAGCTTGGATGTTGCATGGGCCCCTACAATGTAGGTACTAAGGCAGGAAGACAGACAAATGAGAATTTGTAAATTCAGTTTTAGATTAGGATGCAGGGTGTTTTGTGCCAAAGTATTGTGGTTTTCTCTTTCAGTTAGAACAGTGATGACAAAACGTGTTGGAATTAAAAATGTCAAATATATGGGTTAACTTGAAGAGTATGGGAGTGGTGGGTTTTCTTAGTGCTCTATCAGACTAACTCTCCCTGTTCTGCACTGGTTAGCACAGACCAGAGGTGAACTCTTGAGTCCACATAGCCAGGAGTACCATCCCATCAAGACTTCCCAAATCATCTCAGTTGCTCTCTTAAGCATGGCTCATTCAACTCAGCCAAGTCTCATGCTGACTTACCATCCAGACGCCATTTATGCTCTATAGACAAGTCCTGCATCACTCTTTTCTGCTTCAAATCCTTTCCCAAACCTACAAGTAGAGCCCAGGGAGACAAATCTTCAGGTTTGCTTGTAACCTGCAAAGCACATCCACAAGAATTTGAGGAAGCTGGGTTGCAGAACACTAGTGCTTGTTCCCATTCTAAGATCCCTTCAGTCAGAACCAACACCACTTTTACTAAAATCTGTTCCATCAACCAGGAACATAGCCTGGTTTTCAGTTTTGTTGTCAGGGCAGTATCCAGGTCTGCAGTTTCAAGGCCATGCTTTCTCCACCACATGCACACACCCAGCAAGGTCCAATGCTATGCTGAATCCACCACGCACAAGGCACACACACACACACAGGTCTAGTAAGTTAAACTATAGGATCAGCCTAGAAAGGAAGCTGCTTGTGGAGAAAAACAATACTTCTATCAACATCCGAGGACGCACGTGCATAAATAATTAATTATAAAAAATGAGCTTTCTGATTAAGGATAATGAGGAAGAGAACCTCTTTAAGATGACCGCTAATGGCTCATCCCCTCCCATGAATGTAGTGGAGCTGCCCTACCACAACACTTCAGAGGCCTCCTCTTGAGATCACCAAGAGCAAATATTGCCCAAGCCACTCCATCCTTCTGTACACCCACAGACCTACATAAGAAGAGACAGTCATTGCCCACTGTTCTTTGGCTCTGAACAGTCTGCCCTTGTTCATCCTCACCCCTCCCATTCACTGCTGTGCATAGTGACCACCAGCACTTAAGCAGAAAGAGAAAAATGCTGTATTCTGCTGGAGGCTGAGGGAAGAGGAAAGTTGTTAATGACCCTGTCTGCTTTTTGCATAATCCCATCTAGTGGGTTGTCTTCTTTCATTCATAGGAAATGCATCTATTTGAATCAAGCAATCAGCCTGTCCGATCATGCATTCATTTCTTGTTTAGCATTTGTACTGCAGTTATTTTCTTGAGAGATTAATTACCATTTGGGGTAGCTCAGCAGTAATTTAATAAAACAGTGCAGATGCTGTGTAAATGTGAAGTTTATATGTACTATATACACACACACATTTTCTATAAAAGCATGAAGTACCAGTTATCCAAGATATATTAGCAGAAGTTAAAGAACTTACATTTTTAACTACTTTAAAATTAAAGTTCCACAAACAGCACCTTGAATTCAACTAAAGAGTCACTTGAGGAGAGTCATTATGCAGAAATAGGAACACATCAGACTGTCCATTTCTCCTAACTTCCAGCCTTCAATTCTGAAAGCATTCACAGTTTTCACAGACCAAATAATAGCCCAAAATAGTTGTAGCATTGAAACTGAAGAAACGTTATTGTTAGGAGGCACGGAGATAGTTTGAGTAACCAAGCTCCTAAACAAACAAGCACTATCCAAACCTGTAAGGTTCATGCTCTCCAATCTCTATTTGTATAAAAAATCCCACTTCTTGGGAAGGGGCTGTCAATTAGGGGAGAAGGTTATACAAGACGGCAAAGTTTTGCTATTGTATTTGATGAGCTGGCCACCAAAAAAGACCAGAGAGGATAACGTTTCACCACTGATTTAGCACTTCTGTGACACCTGGATTCACCTATCCAGTTATCCTTTTCCATTAGTTCAGTAGTGAAATGTTTAATTTCAATTATTTTATAATTACATAAGTTTCAAGGTTCTCATGTGGTTTGCACATTTTAAAGTTTTCAAGACAGTCAAATATTTCACATAACAAACTGATAGTTCTTTGAAAATTTAAAAACAGATTCAGTACTGAAGGCTTCTACATGCATATTCGGGGTCTCCGTGATTGCCTCGAGCCAGCCAGAAAGACGTAAGCATTTCAGATTTTAGGATAATGTGGATCGAGAACCATCAGCATATACAAAGGAGCTGCAGATTGGCTGGGATAATAGCGGTGCGAGGCTTTGTTTAAGCCTGTCTGCAAACGGGGTGGGATGAATTCCATTAGTCCTCTCCTACTTCTGTGGGAACTAAGGAGAATTTTGGCTTTCATACAGCCTCTTCTGCAATGCAACAAGGGCAGGGATTGAACAAGAGATACGTGCCTGCTCTTAGTTGTTATTAAATATGGGGAGCAGGACGAGCACAGGCTCATGGCAGAAAAGCGAAGCAAAGCACAGCACCGCTCCTTCCCCACCCCATGCACTTAGGAGGAGCACTGAGGAACAGCATCCTGCAGTTCCAGCTCCCCATGGCTCAAGTGCGTTCCCTGAGAGCTGCTAATAAGCAGCCACAACAAGCCACAAAACAGAGGGCTAAGGAAAGAGTTCCTCCGGATGCAAATCAGATCAGAAAAGTCAAACAAAGAAGCGGCTAAACACTCCCAATATGTTTAACAAGTAGTGAGATTTCTCCAAGGTGGCAATCTTAGTAAATTAAATGAAGGAACTTGTGTATTTGCATTTAACCAGAAGTGCTTGTCTCACCTTAGGGGAAAGGGATAATAGGTCACACTTGTCAATAACATCAAGAGACAGTAAAATAATATTTTTACATATATAAAAATACATGTCTGTTGTATACATGTGTGTATATACACATTCACCAAAATTCTGTGACACCAGACTTCTTTGCAAGATTAATATAAGGCCAAGAATGTAACAAACTACCTACAGAATTTGCGCACACACAGCACCAGATTAGGAACTGCTGTGAGGGCAGTGTAGTGGAACGGGGTTAAAGCAGAAATTACAAATGCAATTCAATGAGACAGAACAACAAAATACCAGTCTGTGGACAGCAGAATGAAGCTACAAAGATGGGAGCAGAGGCTTGCAAGGCAGGGATGACTTAAGGATGACTTAAGAAGGAAAAGCAAAGATGTCGCTAAAGAAGCCTGATGGTTCTAGAAAGTTGAACTTGGAGAACAATGCACTAGAAAGCCAGTATTTGTAATTACCACAGGACTCTCTCAAGGCTTGCTGACAAAGCAGCAGGAACCTCAGCAAATAATTAGTCATAGGTATGGTACTTTTGCCACTCTTATTACCCACTAGAAGGCTTCCTACTAAAAATGTAGTGAATAAATATGTTACTGGAAAGTCAGAAAGTTACAAGGAAGAAAGCACTTTGCGTGAAAGCACTTTGTGTGGTTTTAACAGTAAAACACATGGATTGCACAGTCTGGTCCACAGGCCAAGTTAAAGACTAAGCATCCTTTAGTTAATTAAGTCAAGGAGCAGAAAGTTCATCCTCTGTTTCACATTCCTTACGAAAACACAGCTAATCGAGGGCTGAGGGCACAGGGCTGCAGCGCTGTTTGTAAACTGCCACTGATGAGTAGCAGTTTAAAGAACAAGAAAAACTAAGTTTTCCGCCCTAAGACCAAAAGGTCTGTTTTGTCTGACAAGCCTCCTCAGGTCTTAGTGGAAGTGAGACTGGAAACAAATGATGCAGGATACAATGGGAGAAGAAATGTGAACAGTCTTAGCAGGCCAACAGCATGTTCAATTTGAAGAAACTTTCCCTAGCTCTAAATGCAAAGGACCAATTAAATCCCTTCCTTTGCTGCCATGTCCCAAAGCACCTCCAACCATATGCTCTGTGTTGACCAAAGATGCTCTTTATTCCCAACTTCCTGCCTCACCTGAGCTGGTGAGGTTGAGCTGCTGCATCTGAAAGGTGATCATGTACCTTCAGAGCATGGTACAATTCCTGGAAGTTCTGAGTGACCATTTTTATTCAACTTTTAAACTACATTCTGAAATCTGGAGTTGGTAGCAGACAGTCAGCCTTGACCTCATGAAACTGCTTTGCAGAAAGCCAAGGCAGGAAATGGTCTTTGTGGTCTTTGTAGTACGTACATGCATGTCCCACTTAAACAGTCCTGCCAGCTAAGTTGCTTTTGCTTACAACAACATTCCCTTCTTCTGAGGTCATCTTGTTTAAGCATCCTTGGGATCTGTTAGATTTTCTGAGTTATTTGGGCATGCAGCAGCCACAGCATGTCCAAGCCACAATTCTGAGTTGAAGATGAGGCTACACAGCCAGCCAAACAACAAGTAAACTTCAACACTGCTACGGGTTCATTCTAAAATGTTGCAATTCCCAAATCAAGGCGTGTCATCATCCTATTTCTATGCATGCTGATGGTTTCCCCATTGACTATAAAATTTAAGTTGTGTATCTTTCCAAGATCCTTCCACAGCATTCTTCCCTTTGCTGCCAGGGGCAAATGTCCTACATGGCAAACTTATGATAGAGTGGAACCTCTGGTATCCATGACTATTATTTCAGTTTCTGAAGACTCAGGAATTCACAGGTCTCAGTTCAGGATCTGGACCATAATCTCCCAAATGTTGTAAAGAATCCAAATATACGTCTCCTTTATCAGAGAAAAATCCTGCTTTCACTTCTGCCAACCTGACAGAGGTGGGCGTGCTGCTTTCCACAGGAATTTAAAGGTTTGCTGAATAGTGAGACAGCCTCACGTGAGATGTGCACGCCCTAGGAAGCTAAGAAAAGTATCTGACTAAACTCTGCAAGTGCCATGTGGAAGGAAGAGCTGGTAGTGCAATGCTCATCCATCCCAGTAGTGCTCATCCATCACGTTCTGGTTCCCTTCACCTCTTTCTGCCAGTCCCAAGGCCCAGCCAGACCCACTGCAGTAACAGCAATGACACAGGGAGGTCTCCCAACAACAAAACCCACTCAGTACTTCTGTACTTCTAGTAATCAACAACCATCTTCAAGGGTGAGGATTACCCAGGCAACTCCTCAGGCGCAGAGGGATAACCATCGCAGAGGACACGCTCAGTACACCCCGGGTGCTGTAACACTGTAGCTGCAGAGTGACACCAAACACATCAGCCACTGGCATTTCCAATGATAAGCCACGACTTGCATTGTTTTCCACATGCTTCTCCCTAATCTGTAGGTGAATTACCATTCCTAGCATCAGTACTCACTACTCCAGTTTGGCCAGATGTCAGAGAGATTGTCCCAACTGCTGCTTTGGGCAGCAGGAGCAACCAGTTTGTTTCTCAATAATTTGGGACCTCAGAGAAAGCAGAAAGTGATACAGTTTTGTTTCACTCAGTGGAAGACAATCAGTAAGCAGATACTATTATATTTCCAAGCAGAATAACTAACAAACTCCAAACCCCTTACCTGAAAAAAAGCCCACATTTTTACTGCAATATGATACATTTCTGTAAATAGTAAATGGTGGACTTCTATGAAACTAGTTCTGGAAAAAACAATCAGTAACTTCCATAACACCCAGGTCTATGTGACAGTCCAGGCTTCTGGAATACTGCTAGAATATTCCATAGCTGTTAGCAACAGTGCCTTACTGTCTCCTGCCCTATTCAACAAAAACCCCTTAGTTGCAGCTATTTTTCCTTTAAAAAAACAATCCGTTCCTTTTCTAGACCCTTTCCCTTTCCAACTGCTAGAAGAAATGCAAGTATCGAGGAGAAGTGAGAACAAGAGAGCATCATACAAACCAGGTTTCAACAGCTGCACTGGTAGTTTCAACACTGCTGCTAAAGATCCTCAGGCATGCGCCTGGGTAGCTCCGAGCTGAGGATGCTGCAGCACGCACCGAGTTCTGCACTGTCCTGCCGAGTCAAGACAGTTACAGGGGTTCTTATCATGCTCTTGCAGTCCATGCAGTTGCTCACACCGGCATCTCCCATCTCCGGATACTCCCATGATCTTGCGCAAAGCAGTTAACGAAGCTACTGTTCCCCAACAGCTCAGGTGTTCTCTGTGCTCCCCGCAGCGCGGACGAGGCGCTGCGATTCTCCCTCTCCTGGGGTCCCGCCGCCCCCAGCCCGGCCGAACCCGCGGCTCTGCCCCGCGCCCGCCTCCCGGCGCGGCAACAAGGGCGTCCCAGCTCTCCCGAAACCTTTGGAACCCAGGACAATCGAACATACCGGGAAAGCCGCGGGCTGGAGGACACCCCGCTGTCCCCAGGGGCTTTCCCCCGCTGGCTGTTGCCGCCTCCCGGCAGCCCCCAGCTCGGGGATGGAGATCCTCCCCACGGCGCCCTCCCCCATGCCCGTCCCCGAGCGCCCGCGGAGCCCGGGAGCGGCCTGGGAGGGGCGGCAGGCAGGGAACAGCAGGCAGGGAACAGCTTCCAGCCACGCGGCTGCGGGCGCCCCTTCGGGGAACAAAGGCGGGAGCCGGCGGGCTCGTCCCCGCACAGCCCCCGCCGCCAGCCTCCCCCCTCGGCAGCTCCGCAGCCCGGCCAGGAGCACAGACAAAAAAAAAAAAAAAGAAAAAAGAAAAGAAAAAAACAAAAAACCAACCACAAACTTTTTTTTTTTTCCCCAAGCTTTGCTTCGCACAAACGCGAAAGCCTTCACTCTCCTTCTTTTCCCTAAAGTGATTTCTCCTGCCGATTTTTCCTGCGGGGTGCCCAAAAACCGCTCGGGGCGGAGGCAGCTCCGTGCCCACGTTCCGCGCTCAGCGGGCGGGCGGCAGCCCCGGCGCTCTCGGGGGCGCGTCCCCGTGTTGCAACGCTGGGCTGCGCGGAGAAACTCCCAGCCGGATCTGCGAGTTTCTTGTGTGGGAATAGTGGAGGAAGGAAAAAAAAATACCACACTTTTCCTGCAGAAAAAAATTTCTTTGGAGGAATAGGAAGCCGGGAGGGGCTGCTGGAACAAGGGGCGGGAGAAAACGGCGCGCCTTTGAATGGGTTGTTTCACCGCAATGCTCGAGCGGCAGCGAGTTTTCCCTCCAAGGCTTAGGGCATGAGAAAGACCCTGAAAGGACCACAAAAAGCCTGATAATTTTCTGGCCTCTTTTTTCTTCTTTCTTTTTTTTTTCTTTCTTAAACATAATCGACTGCCAGACAATCAGAGGTTTGGGGGGAATCTGCTAAAAGGTTACATAGAACAGACATCAAAACTACACTCAAGTTTGGGTCTCCTTTATCCCAGGAATTTGAAATCCCAAACCCCAACCAGACTCTTCTGTAGGACGGGAGAGGGGCAAACGCGTACGGCGATAATGGATGCGGTCTGCACCGAAACCTTGGAAACAAAGCAGTTGGAAAACTCGTTTGTCCAAAGCAGGGAACCGCAATTCCTGAAACGCGGAGAAGTGAGACACCCTCCTCCCCTGAACAGACCAGCTCTTACAATCCCTGAAGCCAGGCAGAGAAGAGAAAAATAGCATTTAGAAAACCGGAATATTTTCGCTACTTTTAATTAGCCGGCACTCGCTTCAGCCATCAGAGGAACAAACAACCCGGCTGCTCTTAGCTCAGAAAGCGCGAGGGGCAGCGGGACGACACCCAGCAGAGATTCCCGCACCTCACCTACCGATCCGACCGGAGAGCTGCTTTCTCCTCCGCCGGCTTCCTCGGGCAGCACGGACGGCCCGGGCCACGGCGCTCCGCGGCAGCAGATGGGCTCCGGCGGCCCGGGAGCCACCGGCTCCGCCCCCTGCGCCCGGCCCGGGCTCGGCTCGGCTCGGCTCGGCTCGGCTGGGCTGGGCTGGGCTGTCCCGCTGCTCGCGAGCGCCCTGCCCGCCCGCGGCGCTGCTCCCGAGCGGCCGGGCACGGTGACACTGCCGTGCGCCACCAGGGAAAACTCTGCCGTGCGCTGCCACTCGGAGTGAGAAAAGTGATGTGCTGAAGGTTCTAAAGCACTCCTATCTTAAATATTTCTTAGGGGACGCCATAAAAGTTTAGCTAATTGCTCCTCTAGGTCTCCCAGGTGCCAAATAACATCTTATTGCTGGGTAGTTAGTTTGTAGGTCACAGTGAAACTTGTTTGTCTCACTTTGCTGTTGGGAATCTTCAGAGGAGTAAAAAAGAGCATGATTTAGGGTTTCTTTTTCTCTTCTACCTTCCCCACAAATCTTGGTGGCCTCATTACAGCAGCCTGAGGGGAATGCCTGATTCATTGAAGAACATCAATAGTAAGTTAGTCTCCATGGGCAGTAGGACTTAGAAGTATTTAAAAAACAAACCAAAGAAAATGCTATGAATGCGCCTTCGTTGAATACACTTTTGCCAAACTTTTTGTAAAGATAAAAACTGAGTTAAAAATGGCATTCAAATTCACTTGAAAAGCCACTACAGTGCTGTGCCTTGTGTAATTTTGTAGAATCACAGAATCATAGACTTCTCACTGTCCAAAAATATCAAACACAAACCCATTGTATATCTCCAGTTCTTTCACATGACTATGATTGATCTGAATCATTCCTGACCTCATCATTGACTTCATAGAAATTTAACTATTGCATATCATGACAATTAGGGTCTGTTTGTCACTTTGCAACCATAAACCTGACAACATCTTTGTGAGGCAATGAATTGTTTTCTTTTCACACCCAAGAGAGAAAATAGAGATAGGAATACTGTTGTCAAGGTCACCCAGCAAAAGTAGAGCAAGGGTAAAACCTGAGCAGCTGATGGTCCTATGGAAGGATGTGTTGTTTTGCAATACAGGTTTTCCTTGGGAAGCTTCAAGGCCTAAGGAGTTTTTCACTTGCTCTCTCCTTTCTCCTGTTGTGTGTCTTAGTGTGACTAAATGCTTTATAGCAGCCTTCCCAGACTTTTCTTTGTCTGTTTGATTCTGGAGTAAGATGAAATATAATTCTGTGCAATCTTCAGTTCACCTTAGAAGGAAAAGTTTGGAGGTCACTGTGGAGATTTGACATGTTTTCTGAGCAGTGTATAAATAACAATAGAAATAAACCTATAAACGAAGCATCATTAATTTTTCTTACCTAAATGATAATTGTTGATTCCTTCCCCACTTCACAAACACAATAATTGTTCTTTTTTTCCCATACGTTACTCTTCTTTGTAACTTTTAAGTGTCATTTCTGCATTATCTGTGTCTGGATATTGCAGCTTCCAGAAAATACAGCTTCAATGAGTCACATTCTCAAAATCAGGAGATAACTTTAATTTTTAAGGTGTGTTTATGTGGAAACATCATTCAGACATAATTACAAGATTTGAAGAACTGGGTCCATAGAAAACAACGTCAGAAATATTTCAATTATTGAACAAAAATTACTATTTACAATTAGCACTTCAAAGAAACTGAGTTTGTCATACAGTTGTGTCCACTTTTTTTCCTGAAAAGTGACATCTGCTCAAAGGATTCACAATCTTTTCTTTGTCCTTACTAATGTCCCATCTTGATTGATCTGGATTTTGTCCAGCTGATGTCACAGAAGTAATCACACTTCATCCTGCTTCTGAACTAAAATTACAGTTGGAAAGTTTCTATCTGTATCTCTTCATAGATTTTATTTTTCAGTAAACAGAATGGCCTTGCCTTGCCTTGCCTTCCCTCTCCCCTCTCCCCTCTCCCCTCTCCCCTTTCCCCTTTCCCCTTTCCCTTCCTTTTATTTTTCATTTCCATTTTCTCTTCCCCTTTCCACTTTCACTTCCCTTCTCCTTTTTCCTTTCCACTTTCCCTTCCCCTTTCCATTTCCTTTGTATTAAACCAAATCTTTTTCAGTCCTCTGTTGAGATAAAACTTATTTAGAAATTAAGATCCACCTCTTCATTTTTTCCCCAGTGATGCTGGTAGGGAGAGGCTCTTCAGAGCACCACCCTTATTTGTTTATAAATTACATTTAAACATCCCTTCTTGGCCATATCAGGCCCACTCAGCCCTGGCAGAAGTGCAGAGTTGGTTGTGTCTCTAAACCAGCAAAGCAGGAGGCAGCACTGCTGGGTCTCTAAACCAGCAAAGCAGGAGGCAGCACTGCTGGGTCTCTAAACCAGCAAAGCAGGAGGCAGCACTGCTGGGTCTCTAAACCACCAAAGCAGGAGGCAGCCCAGTTGTGTCTCTAAACCAGCAAAGCAGGAGGCAGCCCAGTTGTGTCTCTAAACCAGCAAAGCAGGAGGCAGACCAGTTGTGTCTCTAAACCAGCAGAGCAGGAGGCAGCACTGTTGTGTCTCTAAACCAGCAAAGCAGGAGGCAGCACTGCTGGGTCTCTAAACCAGCAAAGCAGGAGGCAGCACTGTTGGGTCTCTAAACCAGCAAAGCAGGAGGCAGCACTTTCTGGCTGGCTGTTCTGAGGGGCCCCTCACACGTGGTTTTCCCCAGGAAACCTGCCCTGCTGTAATCATGCTGTCCTGCCTGCACAGGCTCAGGTCACTGTTCAGAGAGCAGCGTGGTTTGTCAGTGTAAGGATGTGGGACAGTGCAGTTTGTAGGGATGTGGGTTTAGCAGGTGCCTCCCTGCACCCAAACAGCCTTTCCATTTCGCTCAGTCCGTCACACCGTGGCACCAACGTCAACCTAGGCTGTGGGTTTGGTTCCTGTATGGGCCACTCATTGGCCTCACATCCAGCTGGAAACCTCAGGCCCTATTTCAGAGTAAATAATGAGCTGATAAGATTCAACAGAACATGGAGAAATACCTAGCTGTTACTGTTTTGCAGAATGGTTTGTAATTCCTGCAGATTTGTGTTGAGGTGCTGTGCTCTTATTGCTTCCTACTGTATGAGCAACATGGTTTAACTATTGTTGCCCAGTGGAAGAGGAAGGTCAGAGGAAAATTCCATTAAATACTTTGTAACGCAGAAGTCTACTTACCAATGATGTATTTGCACAGGGAGGTTGGGATGAGAGACCTGTCGTTTAATGCTTCTGAGCCTTTGAATCTCAAGGAGCCCTGAGGAAGCCACACAGCTCTCAGAGGGGTTGTGCTTCTGGCCCAGCTGCTGCTGTGCTCATCCTGCAGACCCATCCCAACAGGAGGGACTGGCATGATCCAACAGTGCCTGTTGTGTTGTGCAGTGCAGCCCAGTATAGCCCAGGCCCAACATCCATGAGAAGAGATATTCCATCAATGGAAAGGCAAATCTAAAAATCCAGAAGCACAGTTCTGTTTGATAAGCCAGACCAGCATCTTTCTGTGTGTCCTTGATGTGCTTCTTGTATGAGAAGTGTGAAAGTTTTTCACAACCACATGACTGTGCTCAGACTCTAAGTATAACAGAGTTGGGCATTTTGGACAAAATTTCAAGCAAGGCAGCCCTTTCTAGTTCATTTGCACAAATGGCTGTAGGAAGCTGGTTCCTGTAGCAAGCTGGCCTAACCATGCATTGACTACTTTGCTGGGATATTATTCTATTTATGGTCAAATGTTATTGTGGGGAAATTATTTGGTTGGCTGTTCTGTGGTGTGATTTTATGGCCGGAAATCTGATTCATAGATCTGTTCTGAAAATAGTTTCACAACCAGTCTAAGCTCATTTAGGGCTGCTGCTGCACCTTTTGCTCTCTCTCCCCACACCCACCTCATGTAGCCCCTTCATGTCCCTTTTACAGGACTGGCACCTGAGCAGCTGGTATGACCTTTTTTTTTTCTTTTTTGTGAGATTGGTTTTGAGTTGGGTCAACTCCTCTTGCCCACCAGTTTACCTGAGTGTACATGCTGGTGTACACTCACTGTCAAATGTAAGGAAGGGGGCAGGATGGAGTGCCTGGGAGCATGCAAAGGCGCACAATTGTTTCTTTGTAGTTATGGAGTGGATAAACCGATCAAGAAACTCCATCCAGAAAGCTGATATTGGCAATCCCCATCAGATAGGAAACTGAATTTCCTGTAAATTTGGAATATTTTTCTGGTTGATTTGCTTTGGATCTGATAAACCCAGCATTTTTCTAGTCCACCTCGCAACAAGGGCTGGGAGAATGTTGGGCAGTGTTAGTGCTTCATTTTGAAAACACAGAAGTATGACATCTGCTCCAGGGCTTTCTGACCACAGTTTCAGTCTTTTCGTGAGATGACCCCCAAAATGTTGCATATGGTTTTGGTGTTCTCAGTGAGTGGTCAACATGGCCTTAACAGAGATCACTTACAAGCACAACAATGTGTATCTTGAAGTGATCGGTGTGGAGTGGCAGGAATTAGGATGTTATTCATGTTTCATCTTCATTCAGGTCTATTGCTGCTGAATAACAAGCTGAAAATTGCAAGGCATTGGTGGTTTTGTACTCAGGTGAGGCATGTCACATAATGACATTTCTCCTTTCTGAATCAAATTCTCATGAGACAGTAACTTCTCCTACATTTATATTCATATTTAATTAACTTCATGAATGACCAGTTCAGGGTTTGAAGTCTGAGGTAGCATTTTTGTGACTTTCATGAAAGAGAGTCATGTTTAAGACTAAGGAGTGTCCTCAGCTATCATGTATGCATGGAGCACTTCTGTACACAGGCAAAAAAATCTCCATGCATGTACACAGTCCAGACTCACTGCTTCTCATTTGAACATGCACATAAAGTGTGCTTTACATACTTAGGAAACCTGTGGAGCATCTGGGATCACTTCGGCACACCAGCAGCCAGCTGTCACTTTGCATATTCACATCCTGGAGTGTGCAGCCTGTGTGCCTGAAGGTGCTTGTCCCCATAAATGACAGGTTCCAATTGTAGATTTGGATATTATTTAAATCAAAGAATCC